AAAAAAAAACTGCCAAACCTAAAACTTTGGGAAATCACGTCTTTTTCGAGAAAACTGCCAACATTTCCTTATCGATAGTTCACATTCTAAAAAGGCCAATAACTTCTCTCTGGAATGATGTAAAAATCAGCGTTCTTGGTCATTTTGCTTCCGAGAAATGAGCAAAAATGGGAGGGAAAACATGAAATTTTTACATAATCTTGCACCTAAGTGTCTGATATTCAAAATTTCGCTTTCTGTGTCAAAACTACTCGAATTTCCCCACTCAAGTTGTCATGACTTCAATTTCTTTTCAATTCTGTATCCAACGATGCCAAAACGAATTATGTGGCTAAAATGGGGCTTGAGAAACTTCGAAAGAAGCAGCGTCATGTTAGAGTCGAATTTGCATCTCAAAAAAACACTTAAATCTAAAACTTCTAGAAATCAAAGCTTCTGGGTCAGCTTTCAGGGCCAAAACTGCCCGAATTTCCTCACTCATGTTGTTATGATGGGGTGCGTTTATGTCGACTAACGATAATTTTTATAATTTCATAGACAACAAAAGACTGAATTTCTACTCTCAACTTTCTACGACTCAATAATCACCGAAAACATAGTTGAACTTCGGATTACAATATCAAACTAAGACTATTCACACAAGACAATAAAGTGGACACAATTGATATAAACTTAGCGGACGCACAAACAGAAAAGCATCAAGAACACAGGGAATATTAGGAAATACATATTAAGAAATCGCTGATCAAACCCAACAATTGCATCTTTTGAACTGCTCATTCTAATCGCATGAAGTGATGATGATGATTCTAGAGTGAATGAAGGAATCTGGATCTGGCTTGACCACGTCTAACAGAAGAGTGTTAGTATTTTCGAAGAAATTCTGATTTCCTGCTAAAATCGTATGCAAAATGTCCTCCAAGTGCTTGAGTTGGCGGGGCAGCGGTGAAAATAGCGCCCCAGTCGTAAATTACAGCGGTGGCGGTTTCGCGCTACGATCAGGCCGCGCAATTAACATAATATATTATGACTAAGCTGGAACTGAAAATTAGTCGGATTGTGCTGACGTGACCCTTCCGTTCAATCGTAGGCGGCCAAGTGCAGAACAGAATAACACAGTGTCGTGCCACACAACACTCACCCACTCACAAAATAAACGGATCGTCTGCCAAAGGTGAGACAGTTTTTTTGCACACTAAAACTAGTTTAGAGCTCTGACTTCACTCTGCTGAAAAAATCCTATTCTCACTAAAGCTAAGTTCTTTTTTACATAGAAAATTCCAGCTTTATTCATTCGCTCACTATGTCGCCGCTATTGAAAATGCATGCGCCAGATATAAGCGAAACATTCTCTTTCAACAGATCCCGGTTGAAAAGTCCCGTATTCTATCATCATACTGGATAACGCAAATGTTGATCACAAAGTGCTACGACACTGCACCGAAACATCTGAATGGAAAGTACAATTTAAATTTAGTTGCAGGAGCGCCTTCTGTTAATCCATACACGCAATCCGAATCATTAAAACCTGTTTTCTGCTTCTATTGAAAAGTTCGTTTTCATTATTAGCGATGTTATAATATCCTAATTATACGAATACAGCGTGCAAACAAGTTTGTCGGTTTGTAAAATCGACAGAAAAATTTAAACGGAATTTCTATACGTTTTGAGCGAGGAGTTATTATGGAAAATGCCGACAATTCCACTTTCAAGCGGTCAAGCGACTCCCTGAAAGTTTGGGTAAGCGTCGAACTGCGGCCATAGAGAGCAAATGTTTGGATGATATCATTATAGGGCTGTTTGAAAACCTCATTTGTCATAAATCTACCAGGCGCAGCATTATATTATAAGCCTCCAAAAAACTCGATTAAAAATCTCATGCAATGCCTGCGTCCGCGATTTTTAATTAAAAGGGTTACAAACCCATAATAAGCTGTTTTTGCACGAGCAGAAACATCCATCACTGTCCCCCCGTTGCCCCCCGAAAAAATAATATAAAATTTAATTATAGGCTACTTAAAATTAATGGGCGCAGAGCGACCGAATTAACATAAGAGCATTTGCATTTAGATTGCGCTTACACCATTATATGATGGAAATAATTCCAGTACGATCATTGCCGCTTCTAAAACGGAAAAAGGGCTACTTTATACCGATTTGTCATCTGAGTGACGATAGATTTGGTTAAGGAAAAACATTTCAATTACTGACCTGCTCCAGCAACTACTTTTCGATGTAAGCGCGCAAAGAGTGGAAGTTTAATGGATCATAATCCACAAATTTGTTTTCATTTTACTAGTGGAATGCATATCGAATGTATGAAGGAAATTTATAACAAAAAATGCAATTTCTAGGCCCAGCAACGGTCCGATCATTGAAAAATGTTTAATTGTCGTTTTCTTCAACGAAGTTTGATGCTATGAGTAAGTATTTTTTTAAGGGCAGCAGAAATAGAGCATAACATCATATTCGTAAATTTTTTTCTGAAAAAGCAAGTAATTTTCAATGTTCATCTCAACTAAAATAAATTGGAGACAACTATACAGTGAGAAGTGTAAAAATCAGGCGTTGGTTCATCTTTTGAAACATCCAGGGATCCGAGCGATTATTCGAAAAATAAACAGCTGATTTTTAACAATTATATGCAATATATTTACCACTCACTGTAGGTATATAACAATGCCACCAAAATTTCCAAAACATGTGCAATTATCTTTATTACTTTTTTGTAAAACTCTTAATAAAACGTCTAAAAATTGAAAGCAAATCAAATACTAAAGCGTCCAATGCATTTCATTATCAATTATTAAATTATGGTCAATCAATAATTAAAAACCATAGCAAATAGAAATATTTCCGAAAAGTCTGATGTGATCAAGGTTTACGAATTATTGGTCTTTAAAATCCAGGATGTTGAACTAACCCAAAGTAGCCCAGGCATGAGAAAGCCTGAATAACTGTATGCAGCATTATTTGAAATTAAATTAAAAGTATATGAGTTCCAAACAACTCACATTAGAAGTCACTTTAGTGGATGAAATATTGAGTTAAAACTGAACAAGTGTTTGCTGAGAATATCCATTACAAACCTATAAATTTAATGTTACATTGATTAATTTTTATGAAGATTACGAAGCAATTACACCTACTCACTCCCTGGGTGCATCAAAGAAATGTTAACAAGAATCTCTGACAGAAACACTCAAAACAAAGCAAACAACACACAAACCCAGTGCCACGATGGAGAAAAAGGTAAAAAAACTTACTGAAACCTACTTATTCTTACTCCTTCTCACTTCAATAACTCCCCCCTAAAAATACTATATAAATCCCGAACCTACTTTCCTTCTAGAAATAACATCTGAAACATCTTGATCCGGATACCCTGTCTTTACACCAAAAAGCTGAAGGCAAATTTTTTAACTGAAATAAATTTATGTAAGACGCAAATCGATATAGAAATTGATATAGGCGGTGTTTCCCAAATCGCGATTCAGTTTTTGCAAAAATATATCGCTCGGTAGCCAGAGGTTCTTCCGGAAAAAAAGCTAATTTTCAATAACTGTTTGCATATTATTATAAATCCACATGAATAAAAATCTTATGGTTCGTGTGGATGTGCTGCAAGGCAAACTGTTTGCCACGCCAATGCGTTCCATTTACTCAAAGACAAATCTAATAACTTAAATGACATTATGTAAAAGGCTGTTTAATATGCAAGCCAATATAGCTCAGTAATCCGTCTTTGTAATTAAATACGGTACCGATGTAAATTTTAATATTTTGCAAACGAATTTGAAAAATTTCATTTCGACATTAAGCTTCTAATTTCAAAAAATGGCTATTTTGCGGTTTAAGCTCCCCGCCTCGCATAATGGCGAGACAACCCTTTTTTTCTTCGCGAAACAATTAGTATTTTTAATATCATTTAAATCAGTTTTATGTAAATTGCCCGCTTCTCTACAGGACACATTTTTTTGTCGTTTGGGCCTTCATGAATATCATTAGCGTACACTTCAATACCGTAACGACATTCAAATTCCAATGCCAATAATAAATCGTATTAATGCACGGTTCCAGATGTATTATTTATTAATGACTAAATCTGGAAGCGCATTTGTGTCTGGAACAGTGACTGGCAACATTGCAATTTACGTCCCATCTTGGATGTTTATGAGATCTGCAACTGACTGATGCGCGGCTCTGATTTAACCAGCACATGAATAAGTACATATTATTACGTTAAGGTGTGTATGATTCGGAATTGACTTCATTCTTCTGAAGGACTATTTACGAAAAACAAAATCGGAAATGAGGCAACAGTGTAACTTTTGCACCTAGATGAAAAATATATAACCCTTGACTTTGGGAAACATTTGCTTTCAGCCATTTTCAGCATATGTCGCCCAAACTTTTCTATAATTCTTCTAAATTCTGGTCTATCCAAAATCACTTCGGAGGTTAAGCAGATGATTAGAATCTTTCTAAAATTTTAAACAAAAAAAAATTATTTTAACACAGACAAAAAATAATTTGAGGGCGGATGAAGCAAAACTTTTAATTTTTTATGAAATGAATATCTGCTGAAGTGTGAAGTAATCGAATAAAAAATGGTATCGGTATGTTAAAATGGTATATAACTGTTACCAACAAAGTTGTAGTTGCATTTCCACGTAAATCCGTTCCCATTTTGCAATTAATTAAATCTGCACGACAATTTTTATGGATTTTGGTCCTTCGCGCCGGATGCCATTGACTAACTAAACCCAGAAGCTACGTAACATCGGTCTGTTCAATTATCCCTAGCAATTAAATCAGCAAAACAATGTTCTGCTCACAAACTGAATCACGTGAAATTATTTAGCATTCAATCGAAATAATTTTTTTATTAGCGCAAAGAAGATACGACGTGAATAAACGATTGGGAGCAATGGGAAGTACAAAAAACTGCAGACAAACCATAAACAAACTCCTTAACAGCACACAGCAGACGCAGGAATGGCAAAAGTAATGAACACGTTTAAATCAAGCTGCTGGCGTATAAACCACAATACTCTGTAACCAATTATATTGATTCTGTTAACAATGTTTTTAATGTTTCCTAACTCCCTAAAGCTAAATAGGGTTCATTCGATATCAGCAGGTTGATTGTTAACGTCCCACGTAACGAAACCGTATCCATTCTTAGGAGTTAAATATAAGTAAATATGGTTTTTATTGCAAACTACTTTGCAAATCGTTACGCACATTAATTGGGTGCATACAAAGAAACCGGTAGGTGGATAAGAACTAGGAAGCTAAATTGAAGAAAAGCAGATTTTTTAATTCATACTACCGAAAAGCTTAACATGAGAAAATAAAATAAGTCTTGGTTTGTTTGAAGCATAATTTGTGTATGTCCATTTCTGATAAAAACTCGTTGAAAATGTGTTGTTGCTGTTTTAGGTCAGTTGCCCAGTTGGCCATTCTTTGCTGCTTTACATGTTTAAAGCTTTTCTGGATCAATTACTCTTTCTTCAACATTTGATAATTTCCTTTTTGCTCTATTAGATTTTATTTTCCTCCCAAGCAGTTTCATTTTTGCAAATTTGTAACCTTCAGATCAAGAAGCAATTATTCCCAGTCCCGCTATTAACGATTGAAGTTGATAGTTTGATACTCATTCTCATTTTCCGATATTTCTCGCCAAAACCGATTCTCATTATCGTCGGGCCCTTAAGGATTCGACTGTGCCGGTATTAAAGGAATAACGGACTAAATTCGGCACTGCTGCCGAAATCAGCATAATAAAACATCGAAAATTCCATAATTTTGAATAACAATAATTACAAAGGAGCGATAATTGCCGAGATAGGCCGCGTACCGCCTTAATGTATTCCGGGCCTAATTTAAACTTCTATTTGACTTCTGCATAACAGACAATCGAAGAAATTACTGTTACTTTGGGCGAGGCGTTTTAATTCGACTTACAGTTTCAAACTAATTGAAACAAAAATAATTGCAGCAAGATTAAGTGCATCAGTAAAGCGAGCAATCGACAAAATAAATTAAAAATTTGACCATTTTAAATGGATTAATTTGAATTTGAACCATTTGAAATGGAAAAATAAATTGAGACATACAATATACATGAATACATTCAATAGACAAATCAATTTTAAGATAAATAAGTAAAGGAAATGCCAAAATGAAAAAGTATTTATTGTTACAAAGCATTCAACTTCAAAAAAATGTATATGGGTTGAAATGAACGAATTGGCCCTCTTAAGTCGAAGTTCTTAATTGCGCTTAATTGACTAATCGCTATTCAAGTTCGAGGAAAAAAGTTTCCTTACCGAGCACGAAAGGGTGCGTTTGTTTAATGCAAATTAGGGGCACAATAGAGACAAAAACAATTTTGGGCATAATTGCGCGTTTAAAATAACCAATACAGACGTTGGGTTTTAGGTTTTATTGGAATATTCTGAGATAGTTATTTGGTAAATGAATAATGATTTGTCGCTAAAAACAACAGACTAGATGTGGAGTTCTAATTATCGATTATAATTGGATTAGTTGTTCGTTCAGTCGCAGTTCGAAACAATAATTTGATTTAAAAAACACGAATCCGACTGAAAAACTCCAAAACGTGAAATTAAAAATAAAAATTTTACAATATTCAATTTTTATAACTCCGGTAAAATACAATTTAATATCGGAATTTCTCCCAAATGCCTCGTTTTTTATTAATGGAATAATTAAAGAGATTTACTTTTTTCGAATAAAAATTAATGGATTTTACATGCAAAATATAAAAAACTCGCTCTGCAATAATGCTCATATATGCGCGTCCGCTTTTTTTTTTATTTTGCATATAGAATAAACTGCCTAAAATATTAATTAAGGTTTTATTCGGATTGCGACCGCCCCCCGAATGCCGTTTTTTGATTGGTCACTCTAATATTGATAGAAAAATTCTATTCATTAAAGAATTTTACATTAACGAGTGAAACGGAAATATACGGGGATTTCTCATTAAAAAATGTATCGCCCAATATGCAACGAGCGCCCGGATTGGCTGACCAAAACGCACGTTCAATTATCCTAAACCCTATTATCCATTTAAGATTATTTATGTTATAGATTACAACAAGGACACATACAAGATAATTTCAGATAAATACATCAACGTCTTGAAGTTAATTTTTCTGACAAACTTAAAGGTAATGCCTTTATTTTGAACGTTCCTCACACACACTTGTCTAGATTGAAAACTTCAAGAAGAAAATGAGCCATAAAAACATAAAAGAAGACATCAGTAAGAAAATACTGATGTAGAGGTACCACGCACAATTTATACAACACTTCTTTTGCATCAGAAATCTATTAAACTTCTGTTTAAGTGCTCAAAATAATTCAGCTTTCCATAAAAGTTGATGAATTTTGTTAGTTTGTATTTTCCCAACTGCGCAGGAATATGATGCAATTGTGAGAATCGGTTCATATTGGGAAATAGACTGGCACTAACAACGTAGACACTTGAAGGTATAGTAAAAACTACAAAATCGACAGAAGAAAGAATGCTAGAACATGCCAAATTTCCCACGAAAAAAAGCAAATAGTCAGTGGTAAATTAAAGAGGAAAACGAACACAATATGCATAGTAAACTAAACAGTGCTGTGAAAAACAAATTACCTAGTTCTTGAAGCAGGATTGGATTATTCATTAAGCAGATTTAATGCAGTTTGTAATGGGCAATTTTAATGGTGACCATCTTAAGCTGCCTACACTTTTAAATATTAAAATTGAAAATACTCGTTTTCCTACTAGACAGGGGAAATAAATCACGTTTTATGACTGCCGGCATCTAAATGGCATTTGAATTTTTTGCAATTTTCGAGTACCTTAAACTATTAATTACAGCTTTAGAAATATGTACAGACATTTTAGCATACCGTTCTGTTCATATAAATGTAAATTGTCTTAGGCGCAAGTTTCAACGTGATCAGTTTAGTAGAGGAATTGCTGGCTGTTGCTAAAATTTCAATAAATTAGTGCGTCAAATAAGTACTAACAATTTCGTTCAGAGAGGTTACAAACGCAGTTTTTCTTAATCCCGAATAATAAAAAACAATTTTGTTGTTTCATGTTTTCAACAAAGTTCTTTTAATAGGTAATACGGTAGCTAAACTCAATAAAGATTTGTCTTGTAAAACAGGATTTTAGAAAAAATAATAAATCAGTAGCAAATTAATTAACTAAACAAAGGTAAATAATATGAAAAATCCCTTTAAAGTAACGGAAAAAACAAAATAATCTAAAGATCAACAGCATAAAGTAGTATTTGATAAATAAGTGCTATTTTCTGAAACATGAATATTATTTACGAGGAAACCAAGAACGCAGATTGTTATAGTCAAGTATTTGATCTCTAGCTAACCGACTGATATTCTTGATAGTCTGCAATATTGCTGCGCCTTTAGTTGTCATAATAACTTAGTCAGCTCTTAATGAAATACAAATTAAATTCAATATAAAATAAAATGTTATTTAAATTAAACCAACACTTCCTTCGGCACGTTTAAAATATTATTCGCTGCTAGTCCATGTGCAATTCAATGACGAATTTCCCCAGGTAACGTACATTATGTAAAAAGTCAGCAATTTTAATTGCCCACAATGTGGTAATAACGATTAATTTGCAGAAACAATGATTAACATATTTAATCAGAACGCATTAAAAGGTGCATTTTACGGTGTTTTTTTGTGTTCAGGCCAAGAAGAAATTCTTGTTCGCGCAGTAAATTTCTTTGCCAATTCTAATGCATAGTTCATGTAGTTATTCGACGCCGCACCCATTTCAAGTGCTAATTGTATTTATAATATCCGTTAATCAAGTGAAAAATTATAATCATTTAATTGCCTAAGGTATGGCTAATGATATTTTGGTTATTAGACGTATTCATGGTTCGCATTTTCTACAAGGACATTAGGTATGCAATTATGATTATAGAAAAAAAGTGACTTATTAATCAATAGGTGAACACGAACCAAAAATAGTCACTTACTGATTAAAAAAAACTGCGAAATATCACGGGAGACATTAGTGAGTCCTTAATGGGATGGGAGATGGAAAATGAAGAGCCAACCGGAATTGGATGGAAATATGATTACGCGGAATCGCATCGAAAAAGTCCCTCGCTGACCGAGAGCAGCAACAGCAGAAAAACAGAGGGAATTTGACTGTGGAAAATAATAAAAATTGGACGATGGACTTTGAATTATGTAGCAATGCGAGACTGGCTGCCTTTTCACCATTGGTAGCTAATAGAACTAACATTCAAACCAAAAATTCAATGTTGTTAAATTTTTTTCATGGACAACTCTAAGACATATCAGATCGTTATTATTTACAAATGGATCTAAAAATATCGTCTTTCACGGTGATTAAATTTAACTACACTGATTAAATTTAAGGATAGAGTGAAGTAGAAGAAGAATATGTAATTCTAAACCTTTTCGACAGTAGTCCAAAATTCTGTATGCAATTGAATGAAAAAATACAGCCTAAAATATGGTTCTTATTATGTGTTTTTCATGGCTCCTTCGAAGAGCTTTTGAATAATCCTGTCTAGTTTTAGCTGGATTTACCGTTATTTAGTTTTTTTTTGTTACAGAAGAGAGTCAATTTTTAGAATAGAAAATCTATTTTTTACTACAAAATCTGGTTGTTCGCGATTTTAAGCTTGAATGGGATTGAGTTTTTTCCAAATATTCTTCAACTTGAAATTTCCTAGTTGTCCTGTTTTGAAAGTACTTTTATTAAAGTTTTCTCATGTTTATAGTTTTCGTGATATAACTGTCAAGCGATAGATCTATTTGCTGATTGCTAATAAAAAAATCGGTCACGTTTCATCGCTTTTGTTAATTGATCTATGCAGACTGACCAAGCCAAATGAAGAAAATATCTGTGAAGATCAGACATTTTTCCTTAGAATTGGAAAACTAGATTTCATTGCAGCCCAACTTGAAGAACCAAACGTTCATTTTTAAACGCGGGTTCTAAATTGTTCTTTTTTTCTTGGGTTCTTGTGTCAAACTGTCTT